CACATTGCTGGCCTGAAGGCTCACCTGGAGTTGCATATTTTAATCCCCTGTTCCAAGCCTATGTATATGGACTTCTGCACCTCTTCCAGTTCCTTTGCAATATGCAAGCCTCAGGAAGCTGAGGCAGTAATGAGTTTTGAAGCTGTTCCTCTGCCTTGGACAACCATGGGGCAGGCTGCTCTATTTGCATGCAGCTACCTCCAATGATCTCTTGGCAAAATCTGTGCCATCATGGCCCATTGTTTCCTTAATTCTAAAATTCACATCTTCTGATGTGAAATCCTAAGTGCTTTCTATTCTATAAAATTAACACTTAAATTAATTTTTTCAATGTAGCCTGAAAAAATTCTGTAGCCCATTTTACCTGCGACTAAAGAAATGATAGACCCAAAGGATGCCATGCAGATGTTCCAAGAGAAATATGCTACCCACCATTCTTCCTGGATTTCCTAGTTTGATTTCCAGGACCACATACATGTGACCCCAAAACTAGAAACCCCTGGAGACAGTAACATGCTTGGGCATTGTGCCTTGTGTTAGAAACCTGGTTCCCAAGTGTCAGAGCTGGATAAGCCGAAGCAAGTGACTTAAAATCGTTATGCATCAGAATCTTCTTCTGTTGAATAATAGTACCCAGTACATAATTGCTATGAGGATGATAACAAGAAACCCCTGTAATTTCAGTATCCCAATGACATAAAAACTTATTTCTAATTAATACCCAGTCCAATGTAGATTCTTCCAGTTGATGAGATCCAAATTCTTTCATCTCTGACTTCTCATCTTTGTTCATTAAAATCCTGTTCACTCAGCAGTTACATGGGAAAAGAAGAAAGTGGAAGATCACTCATGGGAAATTTTTCATGGGATACATTATGCTGAATAGAATAGACGCATGACCTCAAGAAACAGTAGAGGAGTCTGGGAAATGTAGTCTAACTGTGGAGCCAGGAAGGAAGAGTCATGGGTTTGGAGAGCTCATTTCATCTCTGCTAAACAAACCTTCTCTCAGTTCGGCTGAGAGGACCACAAGGCTGAACTTAAGCTTAGCAAATTCCAGTAATGGGCTGAGTACTATCCATAGACTGAGAAGTAAACAAGAGTTAGAGATACCTTAAGAAGAAAGAGGAAATCATGAGAAGCAGGTCTATGACCCTCATTGAAATTTTGTTTACATTACTGAAAGATATGGTCCATGAGAGGGTCAAAGGGGAACCTCTTTACTTTTAGCATGTCCTAGAAGAATAAGACTCTGCAAAATACCCTGATTAGATCAGTAGACTAGCTGAAGGTAGAATTGAAGGGTGTGGATCAGTCTCCACTCTTGAGAAGTAGAAAGCAAAGTCCACAGTTTTAAAGCATCAGCCAGAATATCAGAGAGCAGGGTGAGGAAATGGCAGAACTTGTATTAGAATTTAGTCAAGTCCTACCTGATTCAGAATAGAAAACAGTGGAGTATGTCCCCCCTCCCTCTCTGTTATATTTGTGTGTCTTTAGCTCCATTGGAATATATTGTGATTAAACTTTATAAAGTTTCCAGTCTTTCAGCACATTTCCAGTATATCAGCTTAAGCCAAGATGGAAACACCACCTTCACTGTACAGGAAAAAGTCACCCACCAGACTCTTGCTTCTGAAAACTGGTGGAACCCAAGTTTGAACTCATGACAGCCTTCCTACTTCTGGGCCTCCACAACTCTTCTTGATTTCTGAAATGCCTCACCAGTCATTTCAGTTTTACTCAGATCTCAAGGATAAATCTTTACCTATGTAGGAAGAATTTACTGAGTTTTCATGATATCAGTGTTTCCTCAATGCTTTGGCTCTAAGCTGTACATAATTCTACTTAAATATCTGGTTCATTTCATTCCATACATGCCACTACCAAATGGCTCAAAACCAACTGATTATATGCTACTGCAAGTCACCCTGCACCTTGTACCCACTGGATCTCTTGCTTTATTCCTATGCTGTTTCCTCCACCTGAAACCCCTTTTTCCTATAGATCTTTGCATGGTTCACTTCTGCACACTTTAGGGTCTTCTTAAATATTCTTGCAAATATGTGAGAATTATAATTTATAATCCACTTCTGGAAAGTGCATTCCCATCTTGTTTTCTCCTTGTCTTGTAATTATAGTCACACACTTGGTAGTCACCACAGGGATTTAGTTGTTGCAAAATGCAGAGCACTGAGCTTTAGTACAGTCGGATGTTTGTATATTCTCCCTTATACCCTGCATATGAGGTCATACCAAGGTTTGTAATTAACACTGGAGCACACCTTGAAGATAACATAATCTCTTTCCTGAAAGCACTCAAACTCCAGGTAATAAAATCAGATTGTATCACAGTCCCTTCAGGATGCCTCACTACTGTTAATAAGTACATGATAAAGAGAATGTCTTTCTTGATTCTAGCCATATTCCATAGGAAAATTTTAAGCTGCACCACAGTGAGGTATTACAATATTTTAAAAAGTGTTAAAAGAGATCACAGCTATTCACAATAGGTCAATTTTGCCCAAATAGAAACTATTGCATTTATATAATATGTCTAAACTCCTTTTCTAGCTTATGATCCTTTAGGAAACCACTTTCCTTGCTATTCCTTGATAATATAACCCTCTGAATTCTCATTTCCATCAAGAGAAGGACTGATAGGTGCACCTTGTTTAGTAGGTTGACCCAAAGTTGTCCCCAGGAGGTATAATGCTCCACCAGTGGTCTCCAAAAGAGTGCAGGGGAGAAGCGACATTGTGAGATTGTCAAAGCTAGGTCTGAAAAAGGTCAAGTAGCTTCCTCCTGTTTTCTTGGAACATTCACTCTTTGGCTGCCATGGGAAAACTGACTACTTTATTGTGGCCTTGCTGGAGATAATGTGTAGAGAGACCACTGAGAGGTAAAGAGAGATGAGCAAAAAGTCCTGGCTATATGAATCTTCCCAGTCTAGGCATCATACATGTTAGTGCTGAGGCCTTCAAGATATTGCTAGCCCTAGCTTCTGTGCAAAAGGAAACACAGAGAACCCTAAGACAACATGCCCAGAAAAGCTGGGTAGACCTCAGAACTATGATAAGTACTGATATATGGTTATTGTTTTAAGTCACTATGTTTTGAGGCTGCTGATTGCACTGCAATAAATATTCAGAACAGGAGGTAAATTACACATAGGATAATATAGAACTCAACTCAGATGATTGTCCCACCCACTGATGCATATGTGTTTATGATAGACAGCAGTGTACTCGGTACACAACGATAAGGCAATGCCTCACAGAACTATAGAGGGTGGATGTCTATATGCAGTAATTTCAGGGAGACTCAATGTTAGGTCGGTTGAGGTGGCTAAGGGAACAAAGCACCAGGCAACAACCAATCAGGCACCAACAGACAAGCAGTGATAACCACCTGTCAATCAGCGGGGTCTCCTGACTGATCCTGAAAGAACATGGAGCTCAGCAAGATCTCCTCACCAACCCCAGGAGAACAAGAGACCCTCAAAACCTCCCTTCCCTGTCCCAAGCTCTCCCCTCCTGCCCTAAGCCAGATAAAATTACAATTCGACTGAGTCTGGGCATGACTCCCTGGACTCATTCTTTTTGGACTAAAGGGTCTCACCCAGGAGCAAATCTCAATAAAGCCTTGTGCATCAGCTTTTAATCTGCCTCCTTTTGGTCACCGGTGCCTGACCTAACACTCAAATGTAAGCTTCATCAAGAAACTCAGGCCTCTTGTCTCTACCATAGTAATTACCTTGATAGGATTTGCAACGTTGGAAACTTGCTGAATACTAGACACCTCCATATCCAGTGGGTTTCAGACTAGGAACACTCAGGATTTTAAAAAGGGATTTCCAAGAGATGTAGAGTGCAAGGCAAACCTAGTGGATAAACTGCTTCAGGTGCAGAGCTTCTTCAGTGTTAGAACATGTGACCAAAGGTGCCAATGATCACCACAAAGTCCTCTGCTCATTGTGATTAGTGTAGGTCTGGGCATGTGGTCTGTGCCAGATCAATCAAAGTGAATATCAAGACATTTGTAAGAAATGCTAAGAAAGAAAAAGATGCTCTCTCCTTGTTTACTACATTGGGATTTTGGAAGGGTCTTGCTCTGAAACCTGCTGGTAGCCATCCTGTGAAGAAGAGCAAAGGATCCTGGGTGTGTTAGTCAGCTTTCAGTCACTGTGACAGCATATCTAAGAAAATCAGCTTGAAGGAGGAAAGATTTATTATGGCTTATGGTTGCAGAGGTTTCAGTCCATGGTCAGCTTGCTTCCCATTTTTGGTATGGGGAGGCAGTGCATTGTGATGGGGAGGGCATGGTAGAATAAGGCTGCTCACCCCAGGGAATCTCAGAAGCAGAGAGAGAGGGAATGGGGCTGGAGACAAGATATATTCCCCAAGGACACACCTCCAAGGACCCACTTGTTTCAACTGGGTCCCACCTCCTCCAGTTTTCTATCACCTCCCTATACTCTATTCAGCTATGATTCATCAATGGATCAGTCTATCCATAAGGTCAGAGCCCTCATGATTCAATCACTCCCCAAAAACCCTACCTGTGAATATTGCTACCTTGAGGACCAAGTCTTTAACACACAAGCCTTTGGGGAACATTCTAGATCAAAACCTTAACACTGGGAATGGAGTAGAAAGAGTAGAAGCAGAACTAAGAGGATACCAAAAAAAAAAAAAAAAAGTTGATCCTAATGACTTTGAACAAGTATCCATCTACTTTTAAAGCTGTATCTTCCCTAGACTGTTGTATAATACAAGCTCATAAATTTATTTTCACTTGTTGATTTAAGTAACTTAGATTTTTGACTAAAAATCCATGAATACACATATGCTTAGCATCTCTTGAATTTTACATTTGAGATTTTTGCTGATAAACACATGTTTGGAAATAGCTAATCTTAGTGCAGTTGATCTAGTTCTTTTAGTTTTGAAAAAGGAAATAATACAGGGGCTGGGGCTGGGGCTCAGTGACAGAACACTCACCTGGCATTCATGAGGCACTGGGTTCAATCCTCAGCACCACATAAAAATAAAATAAAGGTATTGCGTCCACCTACAATGAAAAAAAAATGTGTGTGTATATATATATTTGTGTGTGTGTGTATTTTTTAAAGGAAATAATAGAGTCAGAACGCGATCAACTGAAATAGTCCCGTTTGATAATGATGATGACAATGACAATGAGAATGATGATGATGATGTTAATGTTTACTGAGTACTGATCCAAGGCACTCTTCTATGTGCTATGAATATATTAGCTCATTTAATAATCTTCTTAACATTGTAGGGCATTCTGTTATTAGCCTCACTTACAAATGATAGAATTGAAGTACAGAGAGAATAAATAACATCCCTCAGCTCACACAGCCAGTGAGTGGTACAGCTAGCATTAAATCCAGCTGTTCTTTCATCCATGCCCTACGCTTCTAAGAAGACAGAGTACATTTTAATCAACCCTGAGTTCTGGGCTCCATCTTTTAGCAGTGCCTACATTCTTAAAGAATGCAAAGCAGAAGGTCCCTGTTAAATGAAGAGGGGGAACTTCCATCAGTGTGGATTTGCCTCCATCATCTATTCTTTTCACGGCTCTAAAGTATACAACATATTCACGTCTGCTTGATTCTGACATCTTCACTAGGGGGGAGAGAATACAGAGATCAAAGGGAAGAAAGGTTTTTAACTTAAGTTGTCAGCTTGTTTCTGCTTCCAAAAATTCTCATGCTAAAAAATATAGCACTGTGCTTTACTCTCCAAAAGAAGAAAAAATCAAGTTGTAGCTAAGTCCAATTTCCTGTTTCACTTGGGCTGAAGAAGATTCAGCCTCAGTGAGTCCTTCTTGCCTACCTCTGAGCTCCTAAAATGACCCAAGAAGTTGTATGCAGCACAGAATTATGGGGAGAGGGAGTAGAATTTTGATCACCCTGTTCGTTCATTATTGAAATTTGTATACAGTCTGTGCAAGGAAAGTAGCCTTGAAGTTTCCCTCCAGGGAGTACAATCTTGGATCCAAGGTACCTCGCTTTGGAGGTTTTTCTCAGAGCCTGGGATTGAACTTCCTTTCATGGACCTTATGTGCATCCTATTCTAAGGAGATGCTAGAGTGCAAAATCACCATCACTCCTCTCTGTGTCCACTAATCACCTCTCTTCCTTTGCTATGTCCACCTACCCTTCCTTCTGGTCAAGAACAAACACCCTATTGCTCAGGGCCATTCTCTATAACACTTTCCATACTGCATGGTTTTTTTTTCCCAATTAAAGTGAGCCTTTAAAAGAATTGTGGAGCTTTTAAACATTCAAGCATCATTTATTTTAATATCCTCTTAAATACCTTTTGAAAAATCTCTTAGAAGTCCAGTCAATTTAGAAGATAGTTAGTGTGTATTTTAATGGACCATTCAATTTCAAATAAATGTGAAGGAAATTATAACCCTCTTCAACAACTCAATGACAATTTAAGGAGAATGAGACCTTGATTGAAACCATTAGGAATTCAGAAACAAGACTCTGATGTAGTCAAAGAAAACATTCCAGGAATCTGTGAATCCTGTCTTATTTTGCTTTTAAGAAAAACTTCCAAACTACAAAACTAGGAAATATGTTGTCCAAAATTTTAAGAAATTTACTAAAGATATTAGTGCAATTGCTGAAGTTTAGCATTGAGAAATATTGATAACCAAAACCTTTTTTTAAAATGATGATTCTCACCTAGACTGTAGCCTTGAGACTTGGAAAGAAAACTCTCTGATGTGCTGACATCTATTAACATATGTTGATCAACCCACATAATCAGATAAGTCCCTGATCCAATGCATCTGCAAATTCTCCTCTCAGTTCCATTGTATTTATTCTTTTTTGGATCTGTGCACACAAGTAGGGAAGTCCCAAATATGGCTGTGGAAGGGTCTCAAAACAGGCTGAAGGCTTGAAGGCCACACTGGAAAACAGTCAAGCACAAATAAGAATGAAGTAACATGAAAGAAGAAACCGATTAATTGTCAGATACTATAACAATATTTTTTTTAAAATCCACGTTTGCTCCTGTATCTGTGAGAAGTGGTTAGCACAAAGCAGATGAGAAGCATAAGACATAAGAAGCTACACAACTGTAAAGATGTCACAGCCAATTAATAGCATAGTCAGGACTGACACAGTTGTTCATTCACTGACCATTCGCCAGCAGCCAGGGACCTTGGTGCTTCTCAAAGTTTGTTGCTTCTCATTGATTCCTGAGTCCCATCTTGAGAGATTCTAATACAGTAGATCTGCAGTGAGGCCCAAGAATTGCCATTTCTAAAAAATCTCTCAGCTGAGGCTGATGTTGCTAAGGAGAATCCCCCTTTGGAATGGTATAGCCATTTAGATCCTCCTAGAGTTTACAGACCCTACAGGATGCAGACAATAATATAGCTTACACATGATGGAGGGATAGGGAAAAGGTGAACTGGAGCTATAGCACACATGGTAGAGATTAGGGAATCCAGTTTCCTGGGGGAGGTTTCAGGTTAAGCTGAGAACTTTAGATTGGAGAGGAATTCTTGCCATAGAAGGCCGCCTGTCAGTGGAAAGGAGAAAAGAGAGAAGTTTCCAAGCAGAGGGGACATTTGCAAAGTCCCAGTGATGCAAGACGCCATTGAATGTAATAGTGGCAAGAGGAAAGGATATGGACAAAGGGCAGCATGACTATTCTACAGAGTTTAGGATTTATGTTGTCAATGAAAAGAAGTTCTTGAAGGTCTTTAAACAGAATAGTGTCAAAAGCAGATCTTTGTTTTACAAGAATATTTCTAGCTGCAGTGCAAAGAGGGAATAGCAGTGATTAAAACTGCAAGCAAGGAATATGTTTAAGAGGCTGCTGAATTTATCCCACTGTTAATTCAGGTTTATCTGCATCACATAGGAAGAGCCAATGGCACAAGTTGCCTTTGTCCTTCCTCCAAAGAGGACCCTCTGTCTACAGACAACATGCCCCTCTAGTCCAGAGGAGGAAATACATACATACACCAGCCCAACCGCCCCTCACTACTCCCACATACTCCCATCTCTGCCCCATCTTCACCAGTGCCCTTGGGTTGGCATGCATGGCTGTGCTGGGGCACATTCTCCTGGAGCCTTAGCTTAGTGAAGGCTCTGTGATGCTATATCACCTCCCCAAACTTCTCCAACTTCCTCCCCATCCTCCCCAGGACACATCCTTCTCTGCTTTTGGAATCTGTATGGCCCAGCCTCCTAGATGCTGATCCTGTATCACAAGGGGCTATAATTTGCCATCTGCCAAATTCTTTGTCCTATGCAATAATAATGTTCAACTCTTCATGCAGTAACTTTCCAAATCACTCAGGCCAAAGAGAGACCCACAGATGCTCAACAAATAATGATCAAAGCAAAATAAAGTTTAATAAAGAGAGGAGGTAACTCCACTATCAATGACCAATTGATGGCTAAAGAAATAGTAACATGTTTTATTAATTACACAATGATACTATGTATTGAGTACTGTTCAACTTATCAGCCATAATGTAAGCGTAAATCAAAACTACAATGCAATACCACTTGATAACCCTTTAGGTGACTGAAATTTAAACCGACAGCTAATATCAAATGATGGTGAAGGTAGAGGATTTGAGCCCTCATACATTGCTACGGGATTGTCAAATTGTACCACCATTTTTGAAAAACCGTCTGACAGTTCTTTAAAATTTAAACACAGAGATGCTGTTTGACTTCCACACCTAGATACATAACCAATGTAATTGAATGCATGTTTACACAAAACCTCACATATGAATGTCAACAGCATGATTTATTATCATTCAAATGTGGAAACAGCCCAAATGTGCAACTGATTAATAAATAAACAAAATGCTATAAGTTCCATACAATGGATTATGTTTTGTCCATAAAAAGGAATGAATTACTAATATAATCAAAAATATTCATGAACCTTGAAAACATTTTGCTCCATGAAAGAAGCCCATCACGAAAGACTAAATATTCTATAATTTCATTTATGTGTAACATCCAGAATAGGCAACTCCATAGAGACAGAAAATAAATTAGTGGTTGCCAGGCAACAGGATGGGAGGGGAGAGGAGAGCGATAGGGAGTGGCTGCTAATGGGTTATGGAGGTTTCTTGATGGTGGGGGGAATGATGAAAATGCTCTGGAATTAGCAGTAATGGCCACACAATTCTGTGACTATACTAAACATTATTGAATTGTACATTTTATATATTTCAATGATATATAAATTATATCATAATAAAGATGTTTCAAAAACTATGTATATATATACATATATATTCTATGCTAAATACAACATATTATAATCACGATAGTATATTTTGTTAAATCCCTGTTGGCATAATGAAATACCTGAGAAGTTAACTTATAAAGAGAAAAGGTTTATTTTGGCTCACAGTTTTGGAAGCTCCAGTCTATGATTAATTGACCCTATTGTTTTGGGTCTATATTGAGGCAGCACTTCATGGCAGAAGCATATAGTAAAGCAAAACCACTTACAAGTCAGGAAGTGTACACCTCTAATGACCTTAGGACCTCCCACAAGGCCTTGTCTCCAAAAGCTTGCACCACCTTCCAGTAGCACCACCATAGGGACTATGTGTTATAATATATTGTATAAATAAATGTCATTATAGTATAAAACTATATTCAATAAATTAACATGTTTTAATTGTAAATGAGCCCTCTATGTCTCCTGGCCCAGTTTGAACACTGAAGGCACCTGAATTCTTTTGATACTCACAAGATTTCCTCCTTACATAAATATGCTGCCTCAACTTCCTTCATAGGTCTGAGTATTGTGAAACAAAAAATTCACTGAGATCAGTGCATCCCTAGGTCGGGTTGTTTTATATTTGGGGATGGATTTTTTTGTTTGGTTTGGTGTGGTTCATATCACACGATGAAGAATTCCCCCATGGGATTCTAATCCTGGCTTCACCACTAGTGGCTGTAACACAGGGCAAGTTGCTCCCTTTGCCCAGATTACCCAGCTGTGAAGTGGGAAGAGTGTTTGAGTTCTTTACCACAAGGTCATTAGGACTAAATGACCTCCTCAAACTTCAGGATTCAGTCATTAAAATAATGATATATGTACTAAATTTATTCTTGTTATTATTATCATCATGATCACCCTATTTTGTGGGTTCTCAAAAGCATCTTACATCTTAATTAGTTTGGGCCTTAGAGTTGGGGAGGATTCTGGCTCATTCCTAATTGGAGGAACTCGGGGAATATGAAGGGTCAACAGAGCCACTACCTGAGATAGCCTAAAAATACAAGTTGGGGGCATTCATTTCAGTTCCTCTATAAATACTCTATATTTGCTTCTCCTACTTAGCCTGAAGATTAACTGCTAAATTTGGGAGAAAGACCTGGGAGTTTGTCCGTGAGTTTTTCTGTGTCTAAAGGGAAGATTTTTATCATCGAATATTCTGCAGTAAGCATGAGTCAGAAAGAGACTCAGGCAGGCCATCTTCTCCGAGGTGGATGGTCATAAATCAGCTTCTAAAGAATATTAATCTCCCCTGGTTCCTTTGGAAAGTTAGCAAGTACTAGTAGACAATATGAAAGAGCCTTCAAAAGAGGAATGGTGAGACAATGTCACCTTGAGTTTCTTCAAAATTCAAAATTCATTTCCTTTTCATTGGAGAAAAGAAAAACTGTTCCCTCAAGCATACTTTGGGGGAGTGCAGTCCTGACAGGCAGATGCAGTGAAAGGAAATCATTGGTGCCTGAAACTCACGACATACGTGAAATGGATCCCAAGAAACACACTAGTATCTTCAGGGGAAGATAAGATTCCAGGAAGCTATTTGGACCAGCATTGGATCATTTCTAACCACTGCTGGAATACCTAGGATGCCTTGGAAATATTTACCCAAAAATTTTGAGATTTTGAATGTCTGGCACCCAATAGATGAACATGAATAGCATTCGGGTCTTTGGGCTTAAATAAATAGAGTTACAGCACTAGGGGATTCAAGAAATGGACATTGAAACATACAAGCCCTCCCCTGACACCAGGACAGACAGGGTGTTCCCTTTCTTTCTGTACATCTAAACAAGTGGGCTCTTAAAAAATGTGATTCCCAGACCAACAGTATCAGTATCATTCAGGAGCTTGTTAAAAATGTAAGTTCTTAGATCACTTCCCAGATTAAGTGAATCAGAATTCTGAGGTTTGGGCTCAGAAATCTGTGCTTCAAGATGATGATTCTAATTGCCTCCATATATGATTCCGAGGCTTGCTAAAGTCTGAGAATTACTGCTCCAACTATGGTCAGTAACAGAGCTGATTTTGTGAATTAAGCAGATAGGCCTGGGTGCATGGCTTTTAGTGGCAGAGCACATGCTTTGCATGGAAAGTGTGGGCTTTCCACCAGTAGCATCTGGGCTATGTACCAGTGTGCGCACATACATACACACACACACACACATACACACATACACACACGTGCGCACACACACACACACACATGCACAAAGACTAGCAGTATTAGGATAGTTTAGGGCTACAAAAAACAAACTGGATTTCAGGGGTCTAAGTAAACAGGAATTATTTTTGTAACAAGACTGGAGGTCAACAACCCTAGGCTAATGCTGCAAAACCATGATGTATCATCATCCTGGTTCCCATCTTCCTTTGCACTTTGCTAGGCTTTGGCAGGTGGATTTTTGTCCTCAGCTAAAACACTTTACAGTCCCCGTTGGCTGCTTCACTACTGCCTGTTGTCCATGTTTCAGGCAGGAAGAAGAATGATGACAGGCAAGGGATAAAATACTCAGGCAAACTTCAATTTTCACTTCTAAAAGGTTTCTGAAAGTTCCACTAGTGAATGCCCCTCACATTTTACTGTGTCTGGCAAGAAGGGTAGAATGGTGAGCATTTCAGTTGAATATTATGCTACTCCAAAAATGTCACAATTTAGTCAGTAAAAGTGGAGAAAGGATATGGACAGGCAATTAGTACAGCTGCAAATTGGACATAGGAAAGAAAGAAAGACAATATAAATAAGGGTCAATATAAATAACAATTTGTAATAGTGATATAGTTTATCATAAATAAATTATATTTGTAACACATAGGTATAATTTATAAAGTTGTTATTAATATCAAGACTTAACAGGACAGTAAGAAAGCAAGAAGAGTTTATAAAGAATGGTTAACAACTTTTATTGGAAAAGGTCCAATTCTGGTAAAATGTTTATAAATGCTTGATTTGATTTTGGAAATTACTCCTCTTAAGATCAGAAGATGCAACATTTGTAATTGTATTTAAGACTTCCTTGATTATGTCTTCCTCACTGGATGATTTTCATTCTTGAAGAAGTTGAATACTTGACACTAACTATAGTATTTGTCTGTAATGCTGAACCATTACGGCTGAGTAATGCTATGGTTTGGATCAAAAATGTCCCCCTGTTGGGGCAGGCCCAGATGGCTAGAGTTAGGCTCCCTTGCCAAGACCTCAGGTGGACTGTTAGGTTTTTAGTGTGTAGCCAGGGCTGGGAACTGGCTATGTTATGGTTAGTCAAGGCCAGAAACACTCTGATTTGGAGTGCATACTCAAGGTCATAAACATTAACCTGTGAGCCTGTGCCCCTTATGTTACCTGTTGGCAGTGTGCCTTCTTTGTTTGGCCTACATATTAAAAGGGCCTGTGGAAAAGACTCAGGGGCTAATGGGAACAAAATGAGGACTAAAATGGAATTGGATGGAAGCTGGAGGTTATGGCCACCACTGAATAAAACGTATCTACTATCCTGTGTCTTGCACCTTCTTCCACCTGCCTGAACCCAAATCTGTTTCCTGAGTCAGAGCCCCTGTATGACACTTCCAAATGTCCATGTGTTAAAGTCTTGGAGCTATTGGAAGGTGGTGAAAACCCTTAAGAGGCGGAACCTAGTGGGAGTTTTTAGGTCATTGGAAGCATTCCATCAAAGGGGTTTAGTGGCATGCCATTCTCTTCCTCTTTTTCTTTTATGCCTGCCTATGAGGTGAACAAGCTCCCTCTGCCAAGCATTCCTACCACAATACACTGTGCCAATCACAGGCCCAAAACAATGGGGCCAATTGATCATGGCTGAAACCTCCAAACTGTGAGCCAAAAGAAACCTTTCCTCTTTTTAAGGTATCTGTTACAGTACCAGAAAAATTGATTAACAGGTAAGATGACACGCATTGTCGTTCCTTGACTGATTTCATTTCACTTAATTTACTTCATATGATAATATTACTTCATGGCCAGAAATTTTTACTTTGCAAACAAGAAAAACAGTAATATTTTTATCATAGAAAAGTACTCTTAAATCCACTGACTTTGAAATATACAATTTTTTCTGCCACTTTTCTCCTGTTGGCAGCAAAGGTTTAAATTTAATTGAGAAAATATCCCACTTGCACTTACTATAGGCAGTTTCCTAGCCAGCTCTTTTTCTAAAGCCTAAAGTCACCTGATGCTCGCCACTACTTATCAAGTATCCCAATGGATTATTGTTCCCATCTACCAACCCCTAACCCCAAGATCTATATGGCAGAATGCTAAATTACCCAATCAGCATAGGTAGGGTGGGATGGTGATGGAGGAAACGAAATACAGCAAGTTATTACTGAAAGTGTGGGCTTTCCACCAGTAGCATCAGCATCATCTGAGAGCTTGTTAGAAATGCAGAATTGCAGGTGTCATCCTAAATCTAGTGAATCAGAAACCACATTTTGAAGAGATCTCCAGTGATTGGTATGCATATTTGTTTGAATAGCCTGAAACAGTCATGCTTAAACTGTTGTTCCAGACCTGCTGCATAAGCATCTCCTGGGAAATTGAGTGCAATGCAAAAACTTCAGGCCCATCCCAGACCTATTGAATCTGACACTGTGGAGGTACAACTCCACAATCTGTGTTTCAACAAGCTCCTCCAGGTAATTCTGATATAAACTGAAGTC